ATCCTTCATCAAGGAATGCCAGAGAATTAAGAAAACAAACTGGCCAACAGCTCAGACCATAATGGTGAGGTTCAATGGTAATAGACACGTTTCAGGCCAGTTTAAATTGGCACTAATCCTAGAAGGTCAGATTTTAAAGGGCAGGAAATAGTCTAGATGTTGTCTGTGTTTATATTTTGCATACTAGAGCCAGCGTGTATCCCAGGAATACGCAACAACTGAGGGTGGGGTTGTTGGGGGAGAAAATGGAGCAGCCACATGGTAAGCACAGTGCTTCTTTCTGGCAGCATCGGTTTCAGTGAGGACTGAAGACATCATCTTTATATTAAAAGCTTTATTATAGAGAATGCCCAATGTACTTAACATTTTAAAGACAGAACACAACATTTCATGTCAGTGGTGGGCTGCCTCTGATTTTGCTGTCAGAACCCCTTTCCTCTCCTTCATGCTCCTCTGTTTTGGGATATGCTGGTAGAAAAATTTGAGAAGCAAACCCTCCATATGTCACTTTGCCTGTCTCTTGGTCACTTCACACATTCCTATAGGTTCTCCTTTTAAAATACATAGTCCTGAATTAACAAAGAGGAAAGACAGCTCAATGAATGTTAACAGTATGGTGCTATTTTAAGGGAGTGACAGCACTAACTTTGTTTCTAACTAGAACTAAAGTCATGCTGTGCAAACAATCAGACAATGATTGAATTCTTTTCTTTCTGGTTAGACTTTTTGTGGATTATGGTAAGATGTTCTGAGGAACAAATGTGATAAAGATTTCCTGAAGTCTTGTGCTTTGGCTGCCCCAAGTACGAGGAAACTTGAAACAAGATGCTTGATCAACTGACCATTCATTATGTTGGTATGACTCCTTCCTCATCAGTTTTTAGAGAAATCTCAGAAAACAAGTGAATTATAAAAGGCCATAATAAATTAACATAGAGTAGTATCCAGACAGACCAAAACAGGTTATGAAATAGATTTAAAATTACTTCTTACAATAAGTCTTAAATATTCTGACATTAATAACAAAATAACCAAAGGCTCATAAACAAATTCAGTTTATGAATAAGCTTAAAGCATTCTGGATGAATACAGCTAAGATTTCTTATCAGTGAGGTAACAGGGCAATAGCTCTTCACAGTAACAAATGTGGAAGGGTGCTTAGGTAAAGAGGGAGGTGGAGAGGAAAAAGGCATAACATTAAATTTATAAAGCAGAAATTGGATTTTTCAAGCATCACCAACATCAATGGAAAACATATAAAAGAAATACCAATAGCAGCAGTCTGTAGAACAATTTCTCCATTAAACTCCAGCTAACATCTCTGTTACATCAATTCCAGAAGTAACCTGCTTAAGGAACGGAAGGTCTGTTTCTCACACAGAGATGACCTGAAGTATCCAATCTCTTAAAAAAAACCTCTCTGTCTGCTGAAGTTACTACATCCAAGTAACAATATTGAAAACGAAACAAAAACTTCAAATAATCTATAAAGCTTTACATTCTTTAAGATGAACAAAATTTGTGTTCCAGTCTCGCTTAATTTGCCAGGTTAATTTAAAAACAATATCCAACCAGGTCTTTATTCCTTGCACCTACGCATCTACTACTCAAAATATACACAAATTATTTTGTGAGCTAAATTCTTCCAGATATGGAGTGAAAGAAACCAAAATGCTATTTTTAATGCTATTGATTGATTGATTGATTGATTGCAGTTTTTGGCCGGGGCTGGGTTTGAACCTGCCACCTCCAGCATATGGGACCAGTGTCCTACTCACTGAGCCACAGGCACTGCCCTTTAATGGTTTTTATGACATCATTTTTGTTCTAACCTGAGTTTTAAAAAAAATGTACTGTAAAGAAGGAACTTAAAAAATGCTATTTGGGCCAGGTTGCAGCAGCCCATGCCTGTAACCCCAGCACTTAGAGAGGCCAAGGTGAGAGTATCTCTTGAGCCCAGGAGTTGCAGACCAGTCTGGATAACACAGTGAGACTCCATCTCTATAAAAAAAATAGGAAGAATTAGCTGGGTGTGGTGGTTCATGCCTGTAGTCTCAGCTATTTGGGACTGAGTTGGGAGGACTGTTAAACCTCAGAGTTTGAGGTTACAGTAAGCTGTGATCACACCACTGCAAACCAGTCTGGGTAACAGAGTGAGACCCTATCTATTTTTAAAAAAAAAGCTATGTATATATTCCTTCATATTTAAAATTTTTATTCTCTTAAATATAAAAGATTTCAAATAGAAGACATGATGATTCCTCCCCAAAAGGTTCTTAAGCTTTTCATGCTTTTTCTTTTCTTTTCTATAAGAACCTTATTTCTGCTGGTTTTGTCCTCATTAGAGATGGAGAACAGTATGGTATAATAGTTCTTACTTTGAATAAGTAACCAATTAATAAATTAAGGCTTAGTAATCTGTCTCAGATGCTTTCTCCTCTCCAGGGTTAAGTGAACTTAATTCCTAGAACATTTCTCAGAGGTTTTACTTTCCAGTCTACAGTTTATTCTTTTTTATTTCTGCTCTATCTTCTCCCGGGTTGAGTTTCACATTATTCTGATACAATATCCCAGCAGGGACTGAATCTGTAAGATGGGTACTTTTCCTTACGTCCTAAAACCTGGCCTGTTTTTAGTGATCGCCAATGAAGGAAAATAATAGGTTCACTGTCCATCATAACAAGTAAACACAAATAAACAACTTGTAGCTGGTTTTTGTCCTACTTTTAGGTTTGCCCTTCACAAGAAGCATTTCCTATACTTCCTTATTAACCTTTTCCTTATATGTTTATTTCAATTATTTATTCCTCATTTATGCTTTATCTTGACTCACTAAGGTCTAGAAAACTCCAATTTTGATTTATATGCTCAGTAAGAATGCATTTGTTTCTATGATACTGTTCAAAAAGAAAAAGATAAACAATGCAGGTCAGCAGAGGCCAGCACTTCTGTCTTCTTTAGCTGGTTGGCTTGGGGTATGACTGAATTTTTCTTGTTGGGCAAGTGTGCACCCACTATGTCAAGTTCAAGTTTAATAACACATGCTTAGACAGACTCAAGAGCTTGCTAGAATCAAATAACTCCTTCAATCTATACACTTTGGGAACATTTGTAAAATTTTGTTCATTTTAACTTTGGACTATTAAATTTCTGAGGTAAGATCCAACTCCAGTAACTTTTCACCTTGACGAAGATGACTTAAATGTTGCATTATATTAAAGTACGCAAATAAAACTATTCTCTTTATAACAGAATGACAATCTTGACATGGCTGTAATAACTATGCATGGACTCGTATCATTTTAGCTTCATTTTTGTTTGTCAGTCACTGAAACACAGATACTAGAACCAAATATACATTTTTTTATATATACAAATTGTTTATACCACTTTGTAGAATATATGCCATTTCCTAAATTACAATCTACATTCCTAAAAGCAAATAAAACAAAAAATGTTTTACACATTTTTTTTTAAATACAAAAAATTCTACACATTTCTTCTCCAGTGCAAAGCCTTTGGAAACAAACTCATTCAGAAAAAAATGGTGCTCTACATTTAGCTGGCTATCTGTTATCTACAGTCATACAAGATCCAGCTATAAGAAAGGAAGGAAGGAACAAATTAACAATAGTGGCAATACAATAATTTGAAAATTGTGTTTGGAGTATATGAGCTCAGTATAGCGGAGAGCTGCAATAAATCAAGCTGTGATTTGATGAACATTCTACTCAGTTCAAACTTTATATTATTATTACTGTTTTAGGAAATAAATTCTCTAATACCAGTGCTGTCTCCTATAAGCAATTCATTTATTATGATTATACCCAAGGGGCATACCTCTTAACTATAACACATGTGTATTCTGCAAACTATATAGGATAAGATATGCTTTAAGAAGATTAAACAGCATTCCTCTGTTAAATCTTTTCGGAACACCACAGAATCAACCAAAAGTGACTTCTTAAAATTTTTTTCTCCACATTAAAAAAGACAAATCGTACTCATGTGATTGGAAATTCTACAGAAGCCAGCAAAATGTTAGAATAAACTTTTGTTTTAAAACTTGTAGTTTTCATATTTCATAATGCTTAAAATCTGGATGTTTTCTTTCTTTGTAAAATTAACATTACTTTGTAAGATGAAAGAATAAATCTACTTATAAAAATGTAATTCAAAAATTAGACTGCCAAATAAATTCAGAATTCCTTTCTTAGTTCATATTTTTTCTTTACTTAAAGCTTCTGATGACTGACACGATTCTAATATCCTCAACTACTGTTACACTACAAGCCTGCTTTCATGAAAATCTTTATTTATATTCATAAAATTTTTAAATCAGCAAATTCATTTGCTATCGAGGAAGCACCTATATAGTTTGGAAGATTTTCCTCATCTGAAAATTTCCTTAACTGTCTGATTAAATTGTATTCAATGCAGGAACACTTCCATTTCATACCAGACCCTGAGAAGGCACTGAGAAATTTGACGAGAACAAAGCCAATAGGAATGTTGCCACTATTGTTTTATGTTCAGTAAACTTCAGAATTTTAAATACATACAGTAAGTTTACACTGCACCAAGGGCACCTGAAACCACATATTATAACATGTTCTAAACTACAAATGCTAAATATCCTATTTCAAATATTCTACCTTGTAAATTAATACCTGCGATATAACAAAAGACACTTTTCTATAATGATCTAGGAATAGTACCAGTTTCTTGCCAATTTTATGTATTCATTTCCTTAACTAACCCTATAGTTACATACATTTATCTGTCATTTTCTTTTACCATGCTATACACAATTACAAGATATGGAACTAGGCTTGATCACACTTTAATAAGAAAACTCACTTTTGTATTGTTAACATTTCTGTTAAAGGTGGAACAACATGTTACTATAATACTTTTACCATGATGACTTTTGTTCCAGGTTATGAAAAAATTGTAATCATTTCCCTCTAGACCATGTCATTTTAAATTTATACAGTTCGGTCAGCAGACAAAAAAGAAAGAAAATTAAAGGGGAAAGAGACTCAGCCAGATGAGCTAGGGAGAGAATACCATCACAGGGTTCAATGCGTGGAGTTCTTGGTTGTTCTGTTCCATGTGCCAGTACAAAGTCACGATCTACTGGTGGACCCCTAAACAGAACGCCAGATCAGTCCATTCTTACTGGGCTCAAGAAAATTCTCAATCAGAGCTTCAATGAGTTTCTTCAATTCTTCTTCCAGGAAGACAGTGTCACTGAGAAAAAAAGATGAAGCATTTTGGAATTCTTTATTTAAACATCCTTAAAATTTGTTTAAATTATTTTTTCTTTTTAAAAGGGCACATACCTAATGGAATGACTAAACAATTGGTAAACAGAAGAGAAATTCACTCAGTTAAAATAGACAAAAAAAAAATCATATATAAAACACCACTGACAAACTGAAGTTGAACTGTGCTAACAGAAGGTCCCTGGCACATGACAAATAAAAGAATAACAGCGTATCTAAAGAAGTCCCCTTGGTCAGGCAACTTAAGGGCTTTGAACACCAATACCAGGTATTAAGATAAAACAGTTCCCTGGAATACTCTGAAGGACACTCAGTGCAGATGTTACAGGGTGATAAGACATATCTTTTAGGTAGCAAAAGGAGGTGTGATTAAAAGAATGAGATATGTAAAAAATAAATTTGCACTTATAAGTAAGCCCTTCAAAGTCATCACTAAGGAGCTGCTATTGCCCAAAACATTTCCAGGAAAGCCTCTTTTAAACTGCTTTATACTCATACTATAAGTTACACAATAAATCATTTTTTTTTTTTTTTTTTGAAGCCAGAGCCTCAAGCTGTCCCCCTGGGTAGAGTGCCGTGGCATTGCAGCTCACAGCAACCTCCAACTCCTGGGCTCGAGCGAGTCTCCTGCCTCCGCCTCCCAAGTAGCTGGGACCACAGGCGCCTGCCACAACGCCCGGCTATTTTTTGGTTGCAGCCGTCATTGTTGTTTGGCGGGTCCAGGCTGGGGATTCGAACCCGCCACCTTAGGTGTACGTGGCTGGCGCCTTAGCCGGTTGAGCTATAGGCGCTGAGCCAATAAATCATTTTTATTATTTAAATAATTATGTGTCACCATGCCTGACTACTTTGTTTTTTTAATTTTTTTTATGGAGATGGGATCTTGCTATGTTGCTCAGCTTGGTCTCAAACTCCTGGCCTCCTCCTACCATGGCCTCCCAAAGTACTAGGATTCCAGGTGTGAGCCACCATACTCAACCTCAGACTTCATTTTTAATCAAATATAGCATTATCCAAATTGGTTTACTTTAAACTCTGCTCTCAATGACTTCAGGAGGTCTTTTGTTTTTCCTTTCCAAAGGCAATAAAATCTACCCTTAAATATAATGATTTGAAGAAATACAAAATAATGTAGCGTAATTGAGCTCTGAAGGCAATTCTGGAAAACCTCTTTCCCAAAGATATATTGGTCAATGACAACATTATATGAAGTACTACTTTTTAGTAGGTTTAAGCAGCCTTTGAATATGTTTATCAAATTAATTTAGTCATAATTAATACTATTAAAAGGAAACAAACTGGGCAGATTATGTCAAATTACGTTATATATACGAATGATATTTCGCAATAAACACAAGTTACTTGTGGATCACATCTTTATCTTCATCATATAATAGTTAAAGATCAGAGATTCTTTCCAAGAATAGACATTCATTATAGTTTTAAAATTCAATTCCCAAATGAAGCAACTGATTTGGAAAATAGCCTGGAAGTTTCTCAAATGTCAAATAAATGGAGTTACCACATAACCCAGCAATTCCACTTCTAGCTATATACAAAGAGAAATGCAAACATATGTCCACACAAAAACTTGTATATAATGGTCATAACATTATTATTCATAATAACCGAAAAGTAAGTAACCTGAATGTCCATCAACTGATGTACAGATTAAAAAATGTGACATATCTGTACATGGAATATTATTGGGCCATAAAATACAACCTTTTAAAAAAAAGTAATAAAATATTGATTCATACTACAGTATGAATAAACCTAGAAAACACTATGCTAAATAAAAGATAGCAGACCACCTACTGTATGATTCCATTTATATGAAATGTCCAGAAGGAGCAAATCTATAGAGAAAGAGAGAAGACTGGTGGCTGCTTAGGGCCCCATGGGTATAAGGCTTCTTTTGAGGGTGATGTAAATGTTCTAAAATTGATCGTGGTGATGGCTGCACAACTCTATGAACATTTTAAAAACCAGTGAATTGTACATTTTAAATGGGTGAAATGTATGTGATGTGAATTGCATTTCAATAACGCTTTTATATATATATGTATATATAAAAAATCACTTCTCACCTCTGGTCAGGTGATGCACACATCTCTGCATAATATTTTATCTTTGGTTCTGTGCCACTTGTCCGAAGAGTAGCAACACAGCCATTTTGAAAAGTAAATGTAATCATTTGGCTATTTTTACTCACAGGCAGCACCTATGCAAAATTACAACAACAGCTTAATTACACTTGGTACCTTTTTCATTTACAAGCACTGTAAAATACATTCCATTTATCTGAAGTATTTAAAGTAGTCAAATTAGAAATGGAAAGTAGAATGGTGGTTGCCATGGGCTGAGGGGGATTAGGATGGGCAGTTGTTTAATGGGTAAAACATTTCAGATGAAAGATGGAAAGTTCTAGAGATCTGACACACAATCATATGAGTAGACTTAACTATATCCTTAAAAATGGGGAAGATGACGGCTCAGCACCTGTGGCTCAAGCGGCTAAGGTGCCAGCCACATACTCCTAAGGTGGCGGGTTCGAATCCAGCCCGGGCCACCCAACAACAATGACGGCTGCAACCAAAAAATAGCTGGGCACTGTGGCGGGCACCTGTGGTCCCAGCTACTTGGGAGGCTGAGGCAGGAGACTCGCTTGAGCCCAGGAGTTGGAGGTTGCTGTAAGCTTTGATGCCACAGCACTCTACCTAGGGGGACAGCTTGAGGCTCTGTCTCAAAAAAAAAAAAAGGGGAAGATGGTAATTTTTATGTGTTTTTTAACTGCAATTGAAAATTATTTTTAAATTTAAAAAGAATTATAGAAATAAAGACTGCCTATGTAATAATTCATAAACATACCATTTATTGAACATTTGTAATAGTCCAGGCATTAGGTTGTATCCCTTACATACATGATCTCTGGGCCTCAGCAATAATCCTGCAAAGTATCGTTGCCATTTTACAAAGAGAGTAAGTGACCTGCTCACAACAAACAGCCAAGTGGTAGAACCAGAAATGGGAGCCAAAATCCTAACTGCCTCTACATTTGCAAAGCATTGTCTATCAGTGGTCACCAAAGAGGAATGTACAAATTCTAGAGGATGCAGTAAGGTGCAAAAAAAGTATTAATATTTTTAACAAAAATTTTTTTTAAAATGTGACCCTTCACTGACACTGAGTATATGAATTAATGCTGGCACTCTTCCCTAGTTCACATGTCATTCTATTGAGGCTCTGGAGAGGACTATGAGGGCTATGCTATCACAGAGGGGCTGACAGTGGGACTCTCCCTCAGGTGTCCCAAGCCCTGGTACTGTTCTTGAGATCCTGTTCTCAGTCAGTATGATATACAGCAGTTGCTTAAGACAGAGACCTTCTTCCCTTCTTCTTCACTCATCAACCATCAACTAGCAAGTCCTATCTATTCTATCCTTTATTTAGCTCAACTTTTCTCCATCACTATTGCTACTACGTTAAATTCAGACACCATCATCTCTCATCGAGACTCTGAAACAGTGTACTAACTGATCTGCCTGCCTGGAAGCTTGCCCCTCATAACCTACTCACCACACAGGCCAGGCCTCCTCTCACCCCATACTCCAATTATCAACAACTACTGCAGTTCTCTGAATGAAAACATACCTTCCTACCTTTGACTTTGCATTTACTGCTCCCTTTGCTTGAAACATCCTCTGTTTCCCCTCCTTCTCGGTAACCTTCCACAGGAAGTCTTTCATAATCCTCTAAAATATGACTAAGGGGTCCTCCTATGCTGCTCCACAATATCCTATGGATCCCCTGGTAGCACTTATCATTTTGTAAAGTAATTGCTGCTTATTTGTTTGTTTCACCACTAGGCTCTGAGTGCAGAAACAGTGCTTTCATCATTGCTGTATCCCCAGTATGCCTATGCCTCTGGCATGGAAGGGTTAAAAGATAAACATGAATGTCAATCTGAATCCAGCCTGGGCATGCCAAACAACAATGACAACTACAACCAAAAAATAGCCGGACATTGTGGTGGGTGCCTGTAGTCCCAGTTACTCGGGAGGCTGAGGCAAGAGAATCACCTAAGCCCGAGAGCTGGAGGTTGCTGTAAGCTGTGATGCCACAGCACTCTACTGAGGGCGACAAAGTGAGACTCTGTCTCTTAAAAAAAAAAAAAGAGGCAAAGGAGACAAGATGAAAATGCACCTTTGAATAATGAATATCATACACTTTAATAAGTGCTAACGGGAAAACAGCATTCCATCAAAGGCTACTGTAAACACACCAACAATTAGAGAAGTAAAAAAGAAGCAAAAGATTTGATTCTTCTCTTTAAGTAATTTACAAAGACAAAAACAGACACAAACATGTATGTTCACACAACATCAATGACTGGGAATCAGCATTTGCTGATTGGATGGATATGCAAAAATGGAACATGGGTAGTATTCTACACAAGTACCTGAAGATTTTTCTTTTCTTTTCTTTTTTTTTTTGAGACAGAACCTCAAGCTGTCCCCCTGGGTAGAGTGCTGTGGCATCTCAGCTCACAGCAACCTCCAACTCCTGGGCTCAAGCGAGTCTCCTGCCTCCGCCTCCCAAGTAGCTGGGACCACAG